GATGAATCAATTTTGCTCAGTTTCCTTTTAATGGCTGCATTTCTGACAAATCTATAAAACACAGTTTTCTTTCCATTCTAAAAGCAATGGATAGTTCATTTCCCAGTGACCATGCGGGCGAAGCCGCGGGTAACAGCTAGTCTACTATAATTGATCTTTTATTTTTTTAACTAGAACAATAATACACAAATGATTGCGTGTAAAAAATAACCCAGATTGTATAGTTATTATTTTTGACCGACGCCATGAAATGACTATGTATGTTTAGGCTAACTATGAACTTTACAAATTACTTTTGTAAATATAAATAACTGTAATAATAAAATTATTATTTAGTGAAGAAATAAGAAAGACCTTTTGCTGTTGCATGTATGGGCCGGCTCGAATCGGGGTGGTACCACGACTTCCTGCTGACCTCTCATCCGGACGGATATCAGGTTTCGACGTCCATGACCCCCCTTGGCTTTTCGAACCATTGTCTAGTCCATAGTGTGGTGCCACTAACGCTAATGTTACGGTTGCATTCTGCTGGCTGCCGCCGTGTTTGGCACTATAGGTCGGCTGATTGAGATTGGATAAGGTCTTCTTTTTTGCATCCTACTTTCGGTCGGTGCAGGTCTGATTTTTTGCAGCATTGTTGCTGACTCTGTCGCTGATGTGGTCCCCTCGGAGGCAGATCCCAGCCACGGTTTGGTCGTTTCTGTTAAATAGCATCACGTTATAAGCAAGAGTGCTACCAGGCCTGACACATCAACCTCTCGGGATGTAAACACCAGTGCTATTAAAAAGAAGTATTACTCCGCCTCCAAGTCCTTTAAAAAGAGTCATTGCCAATTCAAGATCAGAGCACATCGGCAGAACTGGTGAGAAGCTAGTTCGCCTTCCTTCGAGATCCCCGTGCATTCTGGTCTCTTGCTAACTGGCCCATGCCGCAAGGGAGAAAGCCCATCTGTTAGGCTCTCTTTTTGCGTACAACTTGACTTTAGATGACGAGGCAAACACACAGCCGACCATCCCGCGATGTGAGTTTTCCATGCTGGATGTGCGGTTTACACAGCGCTCGGTTCACAAAGCGCTCCTTTCCCTTTATGTTATCAAGCCATTAGGCCTGATGGAGTCCCTTCCATTGTGCTGAAGACGTGTGCTCCGGAGTTGGCACTATATTTTCCGGTTCTCCTTCATTTTGCTTCGACTTTGAATATAGTTTTATAGAATTAGGATTAACTATAGTCCATTAAAATTAATTAATCCTAGTCCTTTGTCAACATCTATAAATTCTAATATCACTCGATTTTGACTGTCATACTTCAAAACCCAATGTATAAAATATTTATGTATATTATATTATGCGTACCTGTTTAATCATTTCCGGAGTGACATCTACAAGGTTTTTACCAGGATAGGGCAAACTGTAAGGCACGATCCCAGATCAGCTCTGTACCCACATATCTCCGAGTACGTGTGCCGGAATGGGGGCGGATCTAGAGATCCGTTCGGGTCCGAATGCTTCACGTAAGCGACGACGGACGTACGCATGCATAAGCTCATAAAGTGGTTTAATCTGAAATATATAATTGATTATGTATTTAAGTAATTGAAATATTTTGAGGACCTTTCGTTACTTTTACGTATTCTTTTTTATTTTTATGTCCCAAATCATAGTCCCGAATTCATCGAAGACAGCTTTGTTCCACCTGATCCCTAAAGGCAATCGCTCAGACCCGTCCAACTACAGGCCTATAGCCATCACCTCCTGATTAGTGACCGCAAACACGGTTTTCTTCGGGTTCGATTAGCTGGTGATCTTCTGGTCTACCTGACTCATAGATGGGCGGAGGCAGTAGAGTCCAGGAGAGAGGCATTGGCCGTCAATTTGGACATAGCACAGGCTTTCGATCGGATTTAGTACAAAGCGCTTGTTTCGAAGCTCCCGTTTTATGGGCTTCCCGAGAAATTGTGCAATTGGATCACAACTTTCCATGCTGATCGGAGCATTAAGGTTTATAAGGAGCAAAAAAGAATCCCTTTGTCGTATCTCCTCAGTTTCTAGGTACTTACTTCCTTTGCTGCCTCAGCACATATCGAATAATGTGCGGTTTCATGGTCACTTGGAAAGGAAGGCCAAATTGGCCTCTTAAAAGCTTGGCGTGCTCAGCAGAGCGGGACAGTATTTCATGCCGGCACACCACTTGCAATTTTACAAAGTTCTAGTTCGGCCTCACATGGAATACTGTTCTCATCTCTGTGTCGGGACGCACCAGTGCCAGTTTCTTCCACTTGACTCCATCCAGCGCATAGCTGCTCGAATTGTTGACGACCGAGTGCTTTCTGATCGGCTCGATTGACTGGCGCTACAAAGGGATGCGCATCTTTTTGCATTTTCTTTCGCATTTCCCAAGGGGAGTACTCTGAGGAATTGTTCGGATTAATTTCAGCCGCCAAATATAACGAACGCACATCGCGTCATCATTCATCATCAAATTCACGGTACTATCCACACCATATGGATGTTTGGCGGTTTGCCACTGTGCGTTTACTAGGATATTTTTCCTCGTACAATCTCTTGTTGAATTTTTTACCGTCGGTTATTATTGCGGGCCGATATGACTTAGGCGCCTGCAAGAAAAGAGCTTACTCTTTTTTTAAAGGCTGGCAACGCACCTGCAATTTGTCTGGTGTTGCAGCTGTTCACGGGCGGTGGTGGTCATACACATATTACACACCTCTTTTATAAAACAGGAACTATTACTATAAAACTATTTTTATGAATTTTGTTCTAACCCAAAGTTTTAATAATAATCTAACGTCAACAGAAATACCCACGGCATGTTTATAAAAACTGATGGCGTAAAAATTATAATATATAGTTGTTTGCCATAAGTTACTTCAAAGGACTTTCCAGAAACGAATGGCATTCTGAGGTCACAAAATGCAAACAAATATTTCATACATGTAAATTTTACCACCGTATCCTAATTTAAACTTGAATATAAAAATAAAAACATTTACGAACAAGTTTAGTAAGCAATGTAAGTGCAAGGGTAAAGGACGACCCGTATAATATTCCTTTATTTATTGGCGTCGCAATAATTTTCAAAGTCCTTAAAATAAATGTTTGGGTTATATAACGAATTTTGAGTCGTTACTCAACCTAATGTGCCGTGTCTGTCGTATCATTCCTGGGCGTCGTGTTGGGCGACGGAAGTAAACTGAACCAAGAGGAGGACAGCAGCGTCTTCCTGATAAGAACTCAACAATAATGAGGTGCTACCGTTGAAACCCTGCCAGTCGAGCGCGGCGGCTGAGGCAAATATCTCCCCTAGGGCAGTGTACGGACAAGGCCTATGTCCAGCAATGTGGAACTTTGACGAGCTGTAATTAATTAATGAACTGAACATTAAAAGTTGTGTTGTTATCGTTACTAATTGTTTTCTGCTTTATTAAAACTAATTGATTATTTATATTAAAAGCTTATTATTTTACTGAACTAGAGTGAAATTATTATCTTATGCATGTGGTTATTTGGTCACATTTTAGTTAAATATCCCGCTCGAAGGATGAAAAGTAACTATTTTTCATCTATTACATATATGTATTACGATCAAACAGTATATATATTTTTGGTTTTAACAATCATCTAATATGATTTCTTTTCAGTTAATGTGTAAAATATAATGGCTTAAATTTGATTACAATGCTATTTTTCCACATCACCATACAGGAACTAATAACAATAAATGTATGTGCTTGCTAATTTCAAAATAATTGAAAATAAAGCGAAATTTCATTGAAAGAGCAACATCCTGTGGTTGCAGTATAAGAGAATTTACTTCATTGAAATTTGAAGTTGTAGTAAGAAGCAATTTATGGGATCGATCAGAACATTTGGTCATTTTCGATAAATAAAGATATAACCAATCCATTTAATACTAATGAAAAATATTTAAATTCTAGACTAAAAAAGCAGCATGGAATGTTTAAGTAAGAAAAAAGTGAGTGAGATAGAGTATTATTGTTATAATTATTTATCTTATGTACATATACATCGGATATACTACAGGTATATAATCTGTGCGTATGAATTACGTAACATACAATAATAAACCAATTACATAAATTTTTATAAATTTATGTACCTAAATATATTATCTATTTTTATTATATTTACAACTTATAGGTAGGTATATTGAGAACTTAAATATATTTTATTTAAAAAAACTATAGTAAAGATCAATGTAAAATGTTTATAAGAGACAAAATATTTAATTATATTTTTAATCATTCATTACAACCTATCGAAATTACGAATGTATGGTAATATGGCTAAACATATGTCTTCTTCAAAGATAGTTTGTATGGGGGATTTGGTAATAGTTGTCACACTCTTGTTGTTATCACAGGATGCTGCTGGCCGTCTCCTGTTACAGTTTCACTCTGTAGTCTTTTACGGTACTTACGGAATGATATGGGGTAGTATACATTTTTTTAACACAGCGAAAAACTACTAAGATCCAACAATAAGTATGAAGTCGACTGTACTCGAACACAAGTACGCGAACACGTGCATAAAGATTAGCAATTGCGGCAACTTGATAGTGATTTCTCCAACCACCCTTTGATATTCTGCAAGTTTCAAATTAAAGCAGTTATTATTTTATCAAGTACGGACGCAAATGCGTTACATGGTAGAGTCAAGCTGCCACTATATTATAGTTATAGCACGAACTAATCGGTTCGATCGGAGTAGGACCACCCTCTCACAGAATACCAGCGTCAAATACCAGCTACTGTGATTCGTATGGAGAGTATAGGGAACCGGAAATCCTTTTTACTGGGAACGAGGCATTACATCTTAGTTCTCAGAGGTGACAACGCATGTGCATTATGATTCTTAATCGAGGGTAAATGTAGATATCTATGGGACATAGCATCCACTTACCATCTTCTTTCTAGTGGGTGAGTGTGTGTACTAGCGTGCGTGTGTGTGTGTGTGTGTGCAGGTGTTCGACGAGGTGTGCGTGGAGCTGTGCATGGCGGCGCTGCAGCTGCTGAGCGGTGCGGCGCCGGCGCTGGACGAAGAGACGCTGTGGCGCGCGTGCGCCGTCTTGGCGCGCCTGGCGCAGCACTCGCCCGACGTGCCGCAGCTCGTCGCCGTCGTGGGACCCGACCCCTCCGCACACAGGTACGCAGTGCGCACACACTTCAACACACCCATACGTTGCTAACTACTAACACCCACCCGTATGTAACTACACCCACTCACCCGTATATAACTACACGCACCTACCCGTAAATAACTACACGCACCCGCCCGTATCTAACTACATGCACACACCCGTATCGAACTACATATACGAACCCGTATCTAACTAAACACCCAACCATATCTAAGTACACACACCCACTCTTATCTAACTATACACACCCACCCGTATCAAAATACACACACCCACTCATATCTAACTACACACACCGAACCGTATCTAAATACACACACCCACCCGTATCTAACCACACACACCCATCCGAATGTAATTACACACACCCACCCGTATCTAACTACACACTTCCACCAGTATCTGACTACACACACCCATTAGTATCTAAGTACACCCACCCACCCGTATTTAACTACACACACCCACCAGTATCAAAATACACACACCCACTCGTATCTAAATACACACACCGAATCGTATTTAACTACACACACCCACCCGTATCTAAATAGACACACCCACCCGTATCTAACTACACACACCCAACCGTATCTAATTACACACACCCACCCGTATCTAACTACACACACCCACCCGTATCTAACTACACACACCCACCCGTATCTAACTACACGCACCCATTCGAATCTAACTACACACACCCACCCGTATCAAAATACACACACCTACTCGTATCTAACTACATACACCGAACCGTATCTAACTACACACACCCACCCGTATCTAACTACACACACCCATCCGAATGTAACTACACACACCCACCCGTATCTAACTACACACTTCCACCAGTATCTGACTACACACACCCATTAGTATCTAACTACACGCACTCACCCGTATCTAACTACACACTTCCACCAGTATCTGACTACACACACCCAATAGTATCTAAGTACACCCACCCACCCGTATTTAACTACACACACCCACCAGTATCTGACTACACACACCCAACCGTATCTAACTACACCCACCCACCCGTATTTAACTACACACACCCACTCAACCGTATCTAACTACATATACCCACCCATATTTTGACTACTTTCACCCACTCCTAACTAGACCCACCCACCCGTATTCAAACACACACACCGACCCATATCTAACTACACACACCCACTCTGTTACGGCCCGCAGTTGCCCCGACAGAAGTCGACTGGGCTAGGGACCATCAGTAACCCAACTCGACGAACAACCATAGGGTTCGGGCCCAAATGGCCTATGGATAATTATTATGTAATGGCTGGATAAGCAAACAAAAACTTACCGAGTTCCGGAGGTAGGGTCGACCACAAGGTACCGTCAGGGGCAAGGGACAAGTAAATGGTAGGTGTGAGTGGTGTAAGAAGGTGTGTAATGGAACCTCACATCACCGATGTAATCGGCCAGCAGACCCATATGCGTTGCCCTGCTCCACAAGGCGCAATCACTCCCGTGGGCTTTCACCGTTATCTGAACTCAAGTCTAACGTCACTTAGCACAAAACCATAATCGAAGAGGAACGCGATCACCTCCCGGGTCACAAAGTTTTAGCGTTCCACCCGACAAAGTAAACTTCGTACGATATTAAATACCACACAAGCAACTCGTCGACGCAAATTAATGGCAATCGAAGTTAAATTAATCACTCAAACTCAAGAAAAGCCTCGCTGTCACGTATACGAACAAAATAAGACCACGCAAAGGGTGTGGTCTCAACGCGACCCAACGACTCCAATGCAACTTCCCGACATCTAACCGACACGGCCGTCGTGGACAATAGATTATTTCAGACTAAATTGGCACAGCCGCCGCCCGCCGGCTCAAACCGTCAAACCGGTTTTTCGCTCGAGACGAGTGTTTTTGCAAGTTTTAAGTTGTTACGATTTGGCCTAAACAAACCCCCGTCCCGGACATAAGGACTTATGTCCGCGAGTAAATTGACAAACGAGATAGGGTCGCGACGGCACGTTGCAAAACCGAATCTCCAACCAAAACCTCGGCCACCCTAGTCACCCAATCCGGTCCATACGACAACTTAACAATGTGCCCACGGCGCCAATACAAAGGGAAAGCGTTGGGTTCTTTTACTAACACGAGGTCTCCAACCCGAGGAGGATCCGTCTTGTCAGACCACTTAACGCGCTGCTGCAAAAGATGTAGGTACTCCAGAGACCATCGGTGCCAAAACTCTGAGTCATTTGTTGCAGCAGGTCAAACTTGCTCAACCGCGAAGAGTTTGTTTCCCTGAAGGAGTACTCGGGCAGGGCTTTAAGCGGCTGGCCAATCAGGAAGTGGCCCGGGGTTAGAACCTCCAAATCATTCGGATCGGACGAGAGGGGACAGAGGGGGCCGAGAGTTGAGTACCGCCTCAATTTTACAGAATACAGTGGCAAGCTCCTCAAATGTCAAAATAGTTTAGCCAATAATGCGACGGAGATGCGTTTTTGCAACCTTAACTACCGCCTCAAAAATACCGCCCCAGTGTGGGTAAGCCGGAGGGTCGAATTTCCACTGGATGCCCTTCTTGGACATCGCAGTACCTAAATAAGTCCTGTTGCTGGACAGAAATTCGACGACCTCTTTCAAATATCTATCCGTGCCCTTTTATAATTCGTTCCGCAATCAGACCGGATCAGGTCCGGCAAACCGCGACGCGATACGAAGCGGCCCAGCGTGGCCACAGAGGCTTCAGTGCTGAGGGCACTTACAAGTTCTAAGTAAACGGCCTTAGTTGCGAGGCACACGAAAACGCACAGATAGGCCTTATGTGAACGCGTTACGAAGGTTAGAGGACTTAACGAGGAAGGGGCCAGCAAAGTCGGTTCCGACTCCTGCGAATGGTCGGATGGCCCTGACGCGGTCGGGTGGTAAGTCACCCATCATAGGCTGCGATATGGTGGCCTTCAGTTTATAACAAGGTATGCACTTAAAAGGACGCTCCGAATGGTGCGTCGGTCAGACAAAATCTAAAACTCCCGCTGCAAAATAGCCGAAAGACCAGCGTGGGCATTCTGAACATGATGGTGAGTTACCAGCAACCGAACAAAGGCGCCGTCCTTAGGGAGCAGTAACGGGTGTCGAGCCCCGTACGGCAGTTGAGAATTTTCCAAACGTCCGCCAACGCGCAGCATTCCAGCTTCGTCCAGGAAGAGGTTCAGGCGGGCCAGAGCGCCCTTGACAACGGAGCCCCGCTTCAAGGTTTCAATCAAGGGCTCAAAATGCTCCGCTTGGACCATACGGGTCCAATGCATCAAGGCTTCGCGACGCTCGCTAGGGGACAAAACGGAATCAGAGATTTGGTTGGACGGCTTATCCTTGCCCACTCCTACTCGGGCTCGTAGGCCAGGCAATTCAATCGATTCGGAGTATTTATTCTGGGGCCAGAATGACTGAGACTCAGTCAACCAACTAGGACCCCACCACAGCGGGTGGTCAACCAAAGAAGGGGCTTCACAGCCGCGAGAAGCGCAGTCTGCGGGATTCAACTCCCCTGGGACATGTGGAGACATGTTTAGAGACGTGCCAGAATTCTGGATTTGAGACACGCGGTTCGCCACAAAGACCTCAAGATTGTGAGGTGCAGCTCTGAGCCAACAAAGTACTATCTCACTGTCCGACCAAGCGTAGACGTCCGTAATGTCGATTACAGACTTCAAAGACGAGTGAACGTGGTTGAGGAGTTGCGTGAGAAGAGCGGCTCCGGACAGTTCCAATTTAGGGATAGTTAAGCGGGACCTAATGGGAGAAACCTTGCTTTTAGCAAGTACGAGATGGACGGAAGTATGACCAGAAGAGCTCACAGTCCGCAAATATACGACAGCAGAATAGCCTTTCTCAGAGGCGTCGCAAAATCCATGTAGGGTAGCCCTGCATTTCCCTGGAGGGAGGAAGCACCTTGGCGTGGAGACCCGGTTGATGTCCAGAAGGGAGGACACAATGGAGTGCCACTCTCGCAAGAGAGCACCGCTTATAGGGTTGTCCCAACCCAACCCGGATATCCAGAGCTTTTGAAGAAAGCACTTAGCCAAAAAATCACCGGAGTGATCCATCCATTAGGATCGAAGGTACGGGTTACTGCAGACAGCACGGAGCGCTTGGTCCATGATTTAGGAGGGGGATCGAGTTTGACTCAATACGTGAAAGTATCCTGAACAGGCAATTATTGAATGCCCAGCACAGTCAACAAATTAGGATTTTCAGGGTGCTCGAATAGATGAGGGTCTTGTTGATCCTCTCCGGGGAGGTCCTTCAAAATATGAAGGGAGTTCGACAACTATTTGCGCAACTCATAACCTCTGGACTTCAGGATGGCAATCAATTCGTCTCGCAATACAAGAGCCTCCTCGACGGTGGAGGCGCCCGTGCAAATGTCGTCCATGTGGACCGAAATCTCCAAAATAGAAGCACCCCGAGCGTATTTTAGACGCTCTCTCTCAGCGAGTTCGAGGAGGGTTCGCATGGTGATATACGGGCTGGACCGGAGTCCATAGGTGGTGGTGTTCAACTCAAACACCTGTATCAGATCGCTGGGCTTCTCGCGCCATAGTATCGACGGTCATTACGATGGACCACTGATTGTCGAAACATCATCCGAATGTCGGCTACAAAAACCACTTGGTGCCGACGGAAGTGGGTCAAAATGTCGGATATGTCCTTGATCAATTTAGGACCAGAGTGGAGACACTGGTTCAGGGACATACCATTTGACGACGGGGCGGAGCCGTAAAAAACTACCCGAATCTTACTCCCAGGGGTCCTCAAGACCGCATGGTGAGGGAGGAAGTAGTGCTCCTGTAACCGCCAGTCGAAGTTGGACGGTGAAATGTGACCCAGCTCTTGATACTCGCGCATGAACTCGACATATTTGTCGCGAAAGGCTGGGTCGCGCCGCATACGGCGCTCCATGGAAAGCAACCTCTTTTCGGCCAGGGTACGAGATTGGCCCAAAGGGGGCCGTGAGTCAAAAAAGGGTAAGTGAGTGACAAAACGACCGTCGACACGACGGCCGGTATTGTCCTGGTAGAACAACTCGCACTCACGGTCTAGAGGGTTGACTAGAGACGCGTGTGGTGGCTCCTCAATTTCCCAGAACCGCTGGACGAAGTCTAAAAGGGACACGCCCACCACAGAGAGCGGGTCGGCCGTCTGAGACTGTGCTCAAATACAGTGGACATAGCTGACAAGCCATCGGGCTGTAGGGTTCGTATCTCGCCTAACAAGATGAACCCCAGCGCGTCGGCCCCCAGCAACAAATCTATAGGCTCAGGTTGGGACCATTGAGGGTCTGTCGGTCTCAAACCCGACGCACAACGAACCGCGCTGTCATTTATACGGACGTTAGGGAGAAAACCTACAATGTCATCGAGGACATTTACTTTAACTAGAATGTGAAGGTGTTCGCTGGCAAGGCCAAACACCAACTCCGCTTGTCCCCTAGGAGCAGGAGGCTTGGCACCTCCGATACTTACCATTGGACGTGATTCAGAGCTCCAGGGGGCCCTAGTCTTCCCACCAACCAAGTGGAGGCCTGCGTTGTGAACCCGAATCCAATAGAGCGCGAACCGTTAAACAGTCGCCACTCGGGTTGTACACCTTCACTGAGGCCGTCGGCAATAGAACAGTTTGACAAGTAGACTGTTGACGGCTCAAAGGATCAGTGGAAGCGACCATGGTGGGAGCTAGGGCGGCAGCTACCTAGCTGGAGCTGCCTCCATCGGACCGGCACTCGAACCGGGGGTCCTGAAAGCGGCATTCCGGCGGCATCTCAATTACCCGTGGTTGGAAATCACCGAACGGGCCGACCTAGAGAGCTTCGGGGAACCTCGGCCTTGAGGCCCGGGACAGATTTGAGGTCGCAGAAACCCCGTAGTACCGGTACCGACCAAAGGGGGGAGGGTGGTACTCCAGTCGCGGCCGCTCAGCTAACGGGGATGAGAAGGGTCTAGCTGACCGCTGAGTGGCCGTGAAGTTCCTCTCAACACGCTGAGGTGGGGACGACGACCCCCTCGCCCCTGTGGGGACGCCTCCTCGCCCTTGGGGGACGACACCCCGACTGGTCGAGGGAGGGACCCCCTTCAAACCCACGGTGGCCGGCAGGGGAGCGCCGAGCGTCGCCCGACAGAGGGCGTGGCTGAGCGCCCCCGCTCGTGGGAGTTGAGGGCCCGGCAGAGCCCCGAGAGGAGGCGCCGTTCGCACCCAGGCACAAAACGGCATGGTGGTTGCCCTGGCAGTGCAGACAGGACCGCTGGTGCGGGCAGTTTCATTGGAGGTGCCTTTCCAAGCACGAGTAGCACCAGCGGCGCTCCTTGGCGATGGTTCGTCTCGCCGGGACCGGCTTACCTAGTAACTTCGGGCACAACGTCACCCGGTGATCGGATGCTCGACAATAGGAGGAGGGGGGCGCCTCCCTGGCCGCTAGGCTGCTATAAGATGGTATGGGGCGGCGCCCTCGGCGGCTACACACACCCAACCGTATCTAACTACATACACCCACCCATATTTAACTACACACACACACTTGTATCTATCTACACCCACCCACTCGTATCTAACTACACACACCGACCCATATCTAACTACACACACCCACTCGTATCTAACTACACACACCCACCCATATTTTAACTACACACACCCACTCCTATTTAACTACACCCACGCACCCGTATTTAACTACACACACCCAACCGTATCTAACTATATACACCCACCCATATTTAACTACGCACACCGACTCGTATCTAACTACACACCCAACTACTCTCATTTAACTGTGTGTAACACCGACCCATATCTAACTACACCCACCCGTATCTAACTACACTCATCCAACCGTATCTAACTACACACACCCACCCGTATTTAACTACACACACCCAACCGTATCCACCACACTTGCTCGTTTCTAACTTCGCACAGTCGCCTACACACTTACCGATTTCTTACTTCGCATACCCACAGACGCATTCACCTTTTCTAACTACACTTGCCGATAGAATTACCTAAATTAACACTTTAATTTTCTTTACACAAATTAAAACCTAAAACACAAATAATTAAGCACACTGATTCACTTTATTCCGCTCCGAAGCTTCGCTTGTCTCGCCGAATTCAATACTTCCCCGATCGCGTATTGCAGCGCCTTTATATAGGGCTCTTCCACGAAAACATCCAGAATATTCCAGAATATTCGAGTAAATACGCGCGCCAACCGACCAAGCGCAGAAAGCAGATGTCAACTTAGCCGCGCAACATTAACTTCGTACACCCACCGACACAGCCATCCGTTTCTAACTTCGCACACCTGCCTGTTTCTAACTTCGCACACTCACCCGTTTCTAACACTATCCAATCGTACCACGACTTCTTTTTTTTATAGGATAGGGTGACAAACGGGCAAACATTTCACGTGATGGTAAGTGGTTGCTGCGGTCCATAGACACCTACATCTATCCTCGATTATAAATCATAATGCAGATGCGTTGTCATCCGTGAGGACTAAGATAGAATGCCTCGTTACCAGTGAAAAGGGTCTCCGGTTCTCAACACTCACCCTACGAAACACAGCAGCATTAAGCTGCTATTTTACGCTGGTATTCTGTGAGAGCGTGGTCCTTCCCCGGTCGAGCTGACACATTCGTGCTACAACTATACCACTAATATGACTGCAGCATGACTCTACCACGTATAAAAAGAAAAACGTTTACGGCAATCTCGTAATAACAAATTCTGTCAATGTCAAGTATCCTTTTATCTTTGATAATGGACTCATACGATTGCACTCTTTCCAGTATCAAGTAATAAAAAATTATATTTTATTGTACTCTTCTGTACAATATCTTGATGCGTCACATTGGACTTTTTGGAAGATATTGACGGCAGCTTAATGGTGACATTATCTTCACATCACCAGCAGAGCACTTGCTTTTACCATTTCCACTAATAGTTCACATGCGCAGACATTTAATACACAAAACTGCACCACATTTACGTATCAATATCTAATTCTAACCGTTATTTAAACAATAATACAGGAACAACCATCCGCCGGGGTCAAATTCTATATTTTATAACTACAATGACCCCTTTGGCTATTTTCTAACGCGAATAGAGTATGATGTGTTTTTGATGATGAGATGATGTTGTGACTAGGATTGAGAAAGGAATCCTTCGGTGGTTTGGTCATGTGGATAGAATGAATGAGGAAAGAGTGACAAAGAAAATTTATGTTGCAGAAGTGAATGGCAGAGTCGGAAAGGGACGTCCTAGGCGAAAATTTATCGACCAAATTGGCGATTTATTGAAAACGGGCCAAATTAGGAGTACCCTTAACCGACGAGCATGTATGCGTAGGTGTATGGATGTGAAGGAGGCGAGAGAGGTGTGTCAGGATCGTGCCAAATGGAAGTCTGTAGTCTCTGCCTACCCCTCTGGGTAACAGGCGTGAGTGTTTATGTTTTTATGTGTTTTTCTGCAGTTTTAAACGGCACAAAGACTCATCGCACTCCTTACTATATTTTTTTAATATTCATTACTATTCGTTTGCTGTGTAAGAAACACGAACGTTCTTGCATGCTAACCGCTCCTGCGAGTAATGCAACCAATTACTAGAAACCAAATGTCACAAACTGGTACCTAATAGAACTGTGCAATCACCAACATTCGGCGAAACACCAATGTGCGGTAAAATAGAAAGAAAAAAAAGAAAAACTCCGCCGAGCCGCTCCAGTGTTAGTTGGCAAAAGCTTTTATATCTCGCAGATTTGTTTAAATGTTATTATCACTAAACACTCTATTAGATTCTACACATAATTACGATTAATAGATACCGGCGAGACTTACAATTATTCGTCTACTTGTATATAATTGATCGAAGGTCTACTGTCAAATTTGCAGCTCAATGCTACTATGTTTTGTATGGGGAGTGTAGAAGAGCAAGGATGTTTTTTACTGGAAACGAGGCATTCCATCTTAGTTCTCAGGGGTGACAAAGTATCTGCATTTAGATTTTTAATTTCTGATAAATGTAGGTATGTATGGACCAAATCATACACTTACAATCTGTCCTGGGCCTGTGTTCGTTTATCTCCTTTATTCTATAAAAAGAAGCATACGCGTAACCCCGAATCACCATTTTGATATATATATAAGTGTATAATATCTCATAATCACGTGTTGTGTCGGCAGGGGCACGAGCCCACGTGTGGACGAACAAATTGATCTAATAATGCAGAAAGTGAAGTGAGGCGTCACTTATCTACCGCATCGCCTACTGGGGAGCATTTCCTTTCTTTACCTTTATTCTAACTAGCGGTGTTGTGTTTGTTTATATTTATTATATTTGTATATTTTAATTATTGTTAACAGCTGATGCTCAAACTGTAACAATTGTTAGGGATATTACGCATTGTATACGTCAGCGCATCTCAAACTGTAATTATACGAGCTAACATATTTATTATGTAGTTAACTTTATTGTATACATTTTATATTTAAACGTTGAACTTGTTATTATAATATATTTATATTAACTTTCAGTTTGTCTTAATTATGAATTAAGTATATAGTTTTTTTATTTATTTAAATGATAGGCATCAACTCTGTGTAAAACCATTTTTGATAAATAAAGTTTGTAAATAATACGGTGGCGGGCACTGGGCCGGGGGCTCATTTGCACCTCTAATCTGAGGGCGAAACCAAGCTTTGGGGTTGCATTTATAAGTGATACGCTATCAGTGGTTGTGTGCTGCAGCAGCTATAGATTGGAGAGCAATAAAAATATGTAATGAATGCATCACTGAGTATTATTTTTAACTCCCTAGCACTGTTAGTGCTCTGTATTACTATACGCAGCTACCACAAGTGAAATTAGTATTCAAAACTATTATGGTAATTACTTATCATTACATCCTCTAAAAATCCACTGAGAGAGATAGGTCTCTCCCTTAGATGAGACCTCGTAGGGAGGATTGTATCATAGTTGCCAAGCGTGCCATGTGCAAGTAGCAGTTTATATATACTAAATGAGCAATAAATTATTGATGCTTTTACCTGGTGCTGTATTAAGCGGTTATCCTTTTTAGAGATAAAACACTGCAAGCTTAAATAAAAGCTGGCAGTTTTCTAATTTTTTATAAAGTTATTTTGGTGTGAAGTTTATTTCTTCAGCACTAAATTAGCACTAAATTTTTAGCAAAAATTTAAGTGATTTAGCCCAAATGACCATTCGAGATATATAGACGTAAAACAAACAGTGTTACCTTATGGTTATTGTTATCTTATGGTTACTACAAAGAACTGTGAAAATAAATATCAAAATTACCCATATTGAATTAAATTATTTTAACCAATCCATTCACAACAATCCACGATTTCATATCTTCAGGCCATATAGCATCTATTTTACAAGTAAAATGACATTACCTACAGAATGAAGGAAATGGTTCTGTTTCAAAGCAATTTAACTCGAAATAAAATATACGTGTACTTAGTACGCTAAAATTTAGTCTACAAGTAAGGATCGTAACATTTGTTACATATTTTTAAAATTAAACTTATTTTATATTCAATGCCGCACTTGTGGATTAAAATAATCTCAAATAAATCATTTGCCGTGAAATATTGAGTTTCACTTGTAGCGCGCGTGAGCTGCAAACGTTTTTGTTAATAAAACGGAACGTACAAACGAATTTACAGTCAGCCTGATGGTAGGTATGTGGTTGCTGTCCAGGACACCTGCACATGCAGACTGCGATGCGTTATAAACCTCTGAAGACTCAGATGTAATGTGTCACAGTGTGCAAGTACACTGGCTTTCTGGCTCTACACCCTTCAGATCGGTACACAGCAGCGCAAGCACCACTACGTACGTGGTTCGATACAATCACGCTGCAGCTATATTATGCTTGTAACATGGCTCGGCTCGACCGGAGTAATTGGCAACGCGTCTTCATTTTAATTCTTAATCGAGAATGAATGTCTACAGGCCACAGCATCCACTTACCATTGAGTAGACTGTGTGCTCGTTTGTCACCCTTATTCTATTTATAAGAAAGAGAAATTAGAGAGTGATTAAAATTACAAGCCGATGTCTTAATGGTTTTAGGTTATTAAACGGTATGATATGATAATGAAAAGACAACGTAGTTGCAAAGCGATTCTCGCTGGCAAACAATTTTTACAATAATCACAACGCGATATATTCGTACCATAGACATCCCGATTTGTATTTTTCTGCAAATGTTTTCTTTGAATAAGATTTGAATCCCTAACACGTATAATAGTGTAACACTTAGCTACTTTGACTAGTAAACTATGTGGTCATTATTTATTGCCTAATTAAAATTAATTTATATTTGAGCTTCATGGAGTACATCAACAGGTTTCTAATTTATTTAATGATTATTGTTACCCAATAGCTGTTCAGAAACAAATCTTAAGATTTTTGCGATAAAAAAACGGCCCTTTGGGGCTCCGATCATCAGGCGCGTCGAGAACCGGTACGGTTAGTTAATTAAATTATTTACATAAGGTTGGAATAATGTGATGCCGTACTCTTATATCTTTCCGTCCGATTACAGTTTGGGTGTCTTCGAGACAAAACTGAGTAGGCCTTTCTTACGCTGAGATAGTGCGATTTACCGTCACGGGTTTTGACTGCCTCGTTGCTCTAATGATCGTAAACGCGATTGCAAAACATGAGGCCCCGGGGTCGAATTCCTTGTCGGATCAAAATCAATTGCACAGTTTTTCTGTCAAGAAATTCACAGTAGCAGCCCAAAGTGAGGAAGTTGGTAGGGTTTCACACCCATGCTTCGCAAGCCTGCGTCTGATCTCTTCTCCGATCGTGTCGGAGTACCGTCCAATCAGACTTTGTGAGTTAGGGAATGGAGAGTGCAGCTGTGCTTGTGCATGCACTTGGGCACTATAACCCTTTCGTGTGCAAAGGATTGGTCTCCATCGGGACTGGCCGTCGTGACTGAAATTCGGTCTGGAAGACATTATTATTATTAGGGTTTCATCATCACTTACCGGTGGAATTGTCACCACAAGCACTGGCTGAAAATAAGTTAGAAAACAGCAAATTTCCGCACATCGATTTTGTTGCCAATGCTACGTACCGACTCATCCAGCTCCAGCCATGATTAATCGATTCATCATCATTATTACAGCCTATCAAAATTCCACTGCCAAATACATGTCTCCCCTATAGGTTGCTTCTTTTGGATATATTTGCCATATATGCCATGCTTGTCAGGTGGGCGAGTGGACGCTGGTGTCCATCTCACGGGTTTGTTTCCCTTTTTAAGACACACACGAAACGACATGGAGTAGTGAATATTCCTACACCGCTACCATACTTAATCGAGGATGAATGTAAGTGCCTGTGGGCTACATCGTCCACTTACCATCAGGTGGACTGTGCTGGTTTGTCACCTTATTCTACAAAAATATATTTCGACGATATTTTAATTATGGAGCTTTTAATATCCCTCGTTCACTCCAAAAGTTCAAAAAATTAAAATATGTAATAAAAAGTGAAAACGACTTCCAAGAACTAAAAAAAGTTAAATAATTTTCACATACACAGCCGAGTCTTTAATTCTTCAGCCCACTATGTCTCAGCGCCGACTTCAAAGGTAGATATCTCTTAGGAAAACTTTAAACCCTTTGTCCTATGCAATCTGCAATTAATTTAAAGCGTAGAACATTACATTGAACTCCGTAGTATATCTAAGTAGAGCAATAATGTGTGTATTGAAATACGGAATCCTATTCAAATATCTAAATCGTTGGTGCGAGGATGTTGGGTCGCGTCGGGGCAGTCTTTGCGAATCGGTCACTTAGTCAGTGTTCATCTTCTCACCACGCACGCGTGCAGTATATATTTTTGATACGATATTAGCTTTATTTAAAATTACTGATTTAGCGGTGTACAAGGGTATGTAACTGTTAAGTAAATATCTAATAGTTGTGAACTTCAGTCTCTTAAAATTACTTTAAACAATATAAGTGTGTCAATATTCTTCTAATGCTTTGAAACTAAATTATCAAAGAACGTGAGAAACAAAGAAACAGGTAAATATTATATTCCTTTAATTTATCAAAACTTAACGGTAAAATACAGTATTATGGCTTTAGTCTGTGAGGCATTCCACCTTACTCCTCAGAGGTGGTAACGCATTTACATATGAATTTCTTTCTTCTTCTTTGTCGTTGGCCACCGGCTCTGGCCAACAAAGACAGATAAACGGAGAACTAGTTACATTTGCTGTAACGCCGAAGCAGGCACAAAAGTACGCTAAACTTATTGTAAGAACAAGCTTTTGCAACCAACAACAAGGTATTAGATGCAAGAGTGCGTCCGGCAGAAAACTTTATGGGTAGATAAAAAAAAGAAAAAAAGATGTATGCGTGAGTGCGCGTCAAGGAGTTGAGCATGGTTTGGGTGTGATTTCAGACGTAACTTAGCGTTCTGTGTGTCGGAGTGTATTACCTGCCAACCGCGTACCACCAGCTGGATCGTTTGCACGTCTGTCACTACAATATTAATTTTTTAAAAGTCATATATTTGAGCAAAAAGCAGAAAAATTTAAACTGACGAATAAACTGACGAATAATGTCGCGGAAAGCTTAAAGACTTATCCTTACTGCTAACCAGTTATTAATTTGAAACCTAATTTTTTTAAACATTAGTGCATTTATTTAATAGTTTTTGTCGCACAAATCAAAAGTTTTGTACGAAGTACAAATAAAGATAGTTCAAAGTACCATGTTCTCACTTCTTGGTAAAACGTATCGGTTATAATAACTTTATATTAATCTTCTTGCTCCATTGATTTTACTAGAGATACCAAAGCAACGGCACAACTGACAAGGAACAACAAACCAAAATAATTATTATTGATCTGAAAAAGTTATTTCCATAACACCTATATATGCTATGCTAACGTTAAATTTTTAAAACATAAACTACTTATATATACCTAGTGTTGCCCAAATGCAAGAACAAGACGAGACTTAGCCAGTCTTGGCCTTGTTCTTGCACCCATACACTGGTCTTAGTCTTCGTCTTGGCATTGCGCTCCCAGTCTTGGTCTTGCAACAAGTCTCGCAGTAACCTATTAGCCTACTGCTATTTATTAAACGTTACTTTAGATCTAAGAACAACTTAACAGAGTAGGTACATTTTAAGCTTGAATTAACATAGCCATAGTAAAGACAAACCAAATTAATAAAGGTCTA